ATTTATATAATTAAACATCATTTTAAACAATTTTTTCATTTAAAAATATATAAATAATTATTTCATTTTAGAAGAACCCGTCCAGAAGACCTATACAATTGTTTTTCCTTTTGTCATTAAACAAATTAATATAAACTTTTAATTATGAATTTATATAATTAAACATGATTTTAAATAAAAATCTATTATTATTTTATTATTATTAATCCTTTTTCTCGTCATAGAGTGAATGAAGCATTTGAAGCRACAGGATAAATAATTAATTAATAATTAAGCAGAGGTGTGGATGATGAATAATAAACTCAAACACACACGTTAGCCTTTTTCTGACAGATTAATGTTTAATAACAAACTGGGTTTTAGCTTCAAAGTTTTATTAAACTTTAATTTTAAAGCTCAGATACTATTTTTCAAACAACTCTGTAATTTTAATTCTTTCATTCTCTGCTGGAAGTTTATTTCTCCATCATTGAGAGAAAATAATTTTGATTATTTTAAATTTAATATGGGATCTGAAATGTACAATAAATAGTATTTAAATTACTTTGAAGTAAAAGTGGCATCAAAGCAGAATGTTCAGGAGATGAGTTATTATGAAGTATTTWTAAAGAAGTGTTTTCAGTCTAATGAGGACTGAAGGTTTGGCTGAGACCAAACCCTGAGGAAYCAGATTTGTTCTGGACCTCTTTAGTCCGGATCCTCCCCATCATGAGTCCAGACTGGTCCCGATGGTTGCAGGTCTGTGAGAATCCTGGTGTTTCTCCATCYTGCTGTCAATCCTCTAGCCCCGCCCACTCTCACCKGTTCCCCTTGTCTGCTCCAGGTGTCCCTGGTTTGTCCTCGTTAGYGGTTCTTTCTGCTCGGTGTTTGTCGGTTCATTTTGCTGTCTCACAGCTGTGGAGTTCTTTTTAAGAAGTCTTATCAGCTCTTCTTTTTGTTGATAAAAACTTTTTATGTATTTATTTTTGCCYGGGTCCAGCCACACGACACCTTACAGTCACACTGACCTGACGAGGACCAGTTTGGAGTCAGTCTGCAGCAGAACCAGATGTGGTGCAGACCTCCAGGTCTGGATTCTGAACAAATAGTTTTCCACCAGATGTGTGCCAGAGCTCCGTAAAGTCAGATGAGCTCAGATGTTCACCCACACTGTGTTTCAGTGTGAAGAGCAATTCTTTAGTTTTAAAGCTTCTGTCAGTGACCCAGACTAACCTGGGCGATGGACCGGCTTGGACCAGCTCAGCCCGCCCTTTGGAACAGGTTGTTAAGTAGTTTGCTGTGTTTTGTTCAGGGTGGTTTTAAACTATTCTGACTCTTTTAAAGGGAACGTCAGGTGAATTATAGTGATGTGGTGGTACTTGTCCTCTGTGGATTTATAATATCTGCTGTTAGCAGAGATCAGAACTTCAGGTCTACTCCATCAGAGTCTTATCAGGTCTACTACTTCAGAGTCTTATCAGGTCTACTCCATCAGAGTCTTATCAAGTCTACTCCATCAGAGTCTTATCAGGTCTACTCCATCAGAGTCTTATCAAG